TTTGCAGTAACATTTCCAGAAAAAATGGGTAACCAATTATGAAGACTGATTCTCATGAACTTATCAAAAATCATCAAGAATATTTTCACTAAAACACTAAATCCAGTGCAGTGGCTCATGCTTTCAATGCCACCACTCAAGGCTGGTCTGGTCTTCATCTACACAGTTCCTGGTTTTAAAAACTGTAAAAATACCTTCAAAACTGAATATAAGCAATGAAGTTCATTATTCACTTGCTAAACTTCAGATTTAATCAAACCTTTCATTAATACGTGGGATTCTCTAAGATGTCACTTGGAAACAGAAGTTACAACTTTTTTTTTTTTTTTTTTTTTTTGGTTTTTCGAGACAGGGTTTCTCTGTGTAGTTTTGCGCCTTTCTTGGAACTCACTTGGTAGCCCAGGCTGGCCTCGAACTCAGAGATCCACCTGGCTCTGCCTCCCGAGTGCTGGGATTAAAGGCGTGCGCCACCACCGCCCAGCTAGAAGTTGCAACTTTTATTCCATCACAACAAATTAAAGACTACTGACCATCTGTTTTCTTTACCTAAAACTATAGTAAAACACTAGTTTCCCTCAACATTGGACAATTTTTAGATTCTTTTCAGTTCCTGTAAACAATCAGAAAAGTGTCTTTCTCAGGAAAGTGATACTTTAAAATTGCAATAAACTCTAAATATCAAGAGACTGATTGATGAAGCTGAAAAAAGAAAGCATCCGTGCTCTCCTGTAACTAGGAAGTGCTAGTAAAGCTTTGCAGCTGTTTACTGGCAACATCCTCGACTTCAGGAAAAATTACCTCTACTTCTCGACTCTTAAAATGAGATGCATGGAAGCTAGGCCTATCACCAATAAAAAAAATTAACTTAGAGCTTTCTGATACAGTGACAAAGTGTCATCGGCTTTTAAAGGCATAGTAAGTATACTGTTAAGAGAAAAAATTAATGTGAGGCACATACGACATAACTGAGAATATGAATTCACCATAACTTCACATCATATTGCAGCACACTGATAAGAGGGCAATGAACTACCCAGGTCTCCCACATAGCAAAGTTGTCTTACTTGATGTTAGATGTTAACACCCAAGTAAACCCTTCATAAATACATAAAGAAAACACTTACAAAGGTATATAGAATAAAGTTGAAGTTAGTAGAAATTCTGAAAATCGGGAAGAATATGCAAAAGAACTGCCAGGCATGGTACTGCCTATCTATAACCCACTCAGAAAACCCAGGCTGGAGATCCCCAGTTTCAGGCCAGCTTGCAATCCTGAGCAAAGCACTGCCTCTAGAAAAACAAAACACTCAAATCCCACTCAATTGCCTATCTCTAAAAATACATTTAACTTCACATCATGGAGACATAAGCATGTTCATGTATGTGATGGGAGAACACTAAAACATCTTCTTGAACGTATTTTTTAAATTCATTACTAAATACTGAATTACTAAAAGAGCCCTGTCAAGAACTTCCACAGAAACTGTCATCCAAACCAAACATTAGGTCTCTGTGGATTACAGGTATAAAAGAACCTTTGTATGTGCTCTAAAATTTAGTGAAAAATTAAATAAAATTAAATTGTCTCAGTACTGACTAGAAGCATTTAGTCCCTAACAAAATCCTAGTCAAATAAATTAATCTGGAGTTTACAGATTTTTATGTGTATGTAAATAAATTTCTACAAATTAGACATCACTACTAAATTTTAGAAATAACTGTAAACCAAGTATTGTAATGCAAACCAATTCAACTAATGCAAGCTATAATATATTGTTTTAAAATAGCAAAATCAGAGGCCAGAGTTCTAATTACAGATCTAGGGGATCTAATGTCCTCTTCTGGACTTAATGGGCATCTGCAGTCTCACATGCTCAAAGACACACAGACACACACCACTCTTCTCTCTCACACACATAAATCTTTAAAAAAAAAACAAAAAACTAAAAACTAACAGATACTGCCTCTATAGTTTTTTGACTATGGGCAAGTTAAGTGGCTACCAGATAGACACTGTACCCAACCCCACACTTTGGATTAAAGTGACAGATTGTTTTAAGAGTAGCATGACTTAATGGATACATAGAGGTAAACTTTTATTTTAAAGGAGCGTTTACATTCTGGCCTGGGATGATCAGTAACAGCACACAGTCAGGAAGGACATAGCTAGCAAACCCCACTCACACTTCAGAAAGCAGCCAACTAATTTATCCCAACAAAACCTGGCAACTCATGTTAAGGAATGCTTGGTGGCAAAACATGTGCCTAGAATACACAAATCCCTAGCACTTCAAATCAACCTTGAAAAATACCCGACAACTGGTTTTGCCGATGCAGATAAATTACTAAGGGTGTTCAATAAGGTAATACTTTACTGTCTTGTTATTAGTCATACTCTTCAAAGCATACTAGTAGTCTGGTTTCTGGGCTTTGAGTTACTGTGAAGATATGACATTCAGATTTAACATTTACATATTAATCTCACTATAATCACAAAGGTTTGGGCTAGAATATATTCACTAAACTTTTCCTTTACTGTGGTACTGTGGTTATAGCTCAGCATACTTGCCCAGCAGATACCCAGCACCAAAGTAGTCGGGGAGGGGAAGCAAAACGGCATGCATCATAGGTATACTATACCAGTTAGTTCAGTGTTGGGCCACCTGTCCAGAAGATGTGCCTGCATTGTCTTACCTTTAGAGTCAACATGGGTAAGGTTCTGGCAGCTTCTCATTTTTAACTTTTAATACCTGGTTTCTTCCACCTGCTAATGCTCTGAAGACGTTTTTAAAAATTTAACACAAAATACTTACACTTCACTTGCAAACTAAGTATAACATTTTCTCTATTTCATCAATCATCTCTAGTAATTATAAAAATAACAATCAGAAGGAATATGTAATAATCTCTCCAAACCCATACCCAAAATAAACGAAATACATTCACAACTCTGGATATTACGTGTCTTGAACTGAATAAAATGAACTGTAGTACCTGCTGGTACATTTAAGATCTCTGGACAACTCCAAATAGTATTCAACTAATAAATTTCATTCTCCCATCAATCCAAGCTGGAACTATACTAAAAATTTCAACTGACACCATTTATATTTAAAAGCATTTAGGCCAACTATTATATCCACTCTTGAAATTATTGTACTAACTTTCCCAACTTTGTCATTAAGTATTCCTCGCATAGGAGTCAGCGGTTCATTTAAAACCTCACATGATATCTAAACATTCAAAATCTTAAAAGTAGCATTATCTTGACAGTGCACAGAGATCAGAAAATGGGAAGCCAAGAAACATATATAAAGGGGCTCCCACTTGATTGCTTTTTTATCTTTCAGGAAGTGAACATGCAAATAAATTGTCATTTTCAATAAACAAAGTCTACGTTCAGTTCTTCACATAAAAGTGAACCTGAAAGCAAACTCACAGGTTATCAGAAAGAATAGACCTACCTCTTCAAATTCAACCTACTTTGAAAGTTGCAACAATGTTACAAATGCCACTGTGTTTTCTGGTGACAGTGACTCAGTAAAACCTTTGTTTCTAAGAGAAGGTGTTTTCTGCAATATGTTGCTGGAAATCTGAATTTATAAAGGTGTTACTATTAAAAAGCCAATTAAGATACTTGAAAGTTTAAACATACTGACTTATGGGTGCATATGCTGCACTCTCAAAGGGCCAACAAGTCCACATGGGCTAACCCTTACCTCTGGAGAGGTGTCTTAACATGTGAAAAGTCAGGTATCGGCATTAGTACAGAACTTGTGCAGCAAGTTCTATTAAAAAAAAAAACCTTCTTTTCAAGCTGTCAGACTTGCTGGCAACCAGATAAGTAAATGCAATTAAATGAATAACTAAATGTACTATACAATATCATTTAGATGTGTACATAAAAACCAACCATCTAACTAGCAAATGTAAGATTTAAGATCTCCACTATTTCTAAAATTACAACAGATTTAAAAAAACTGACAACTGACAAGTCTTAAAAGCTTTGAATAAAATTCCTTCCCTGGTTAATTAATAAATGTGAATAAAAATATCCTAGAATACTTGTTTTTTAATAATTCTGTGTACATACTTTTTAATAAGCAGTGATGCTTCTATTCAAAAATCCATTAATTACCTAATTTTCTAATGGAGGAAATGGAAACTTATAGCACTTTCTGAGAAACATTTGTCTATCAACCCAGGGCAAAATCATAATATATAAGAAGTTCATAAACAAGATATTGTTTTGTATTTTATGTATGGTGTTGCTGTTCCAAACTAAGTAAAGCTGGTTTTGAAATACTACAAGATAGTTTTCCATCTCAGCATAGTAACCAATGAGTGCCCTTTGGTTTATATAAATCAAAAATAAAGATTATTAATTACAGATAACCACCTTGATTTGGGGACCTTTCGCACACAAATATCAAATGGCTAGGCTCTTATTTTACACAAGTCTAACTGTTAGGCATTATCAAACTAACTTACTCTGCCCACACCCACAAAACTATTTTACTGAACACAGGCTGTATCTGTAAAGTAGTAGCTTACACAAGTTCCAAAAGCAGTGTTTAGTTTTACTTTTAAAATGGGGAAGCCACACATTTTAAAAGTAAATATAGGTGAATCAGATGTAATTTGAACCTAATAAACCATGCATGAGCCAAGAGTTAATAAACCAATGTGTTTTGAATTCATTCAAGTACTGATAATTCTGTATAAAGATTTAGTATATATCAGCTATCATAAGTTGTGGAAAAAAAAATTCAACTCCCAAATAAAAATATATAGTTAAAATACATAGTGGTTAGTATTTCACGCAGCATAAAATCTGGTAAATCAGAAGTTTACATGTCCCAGCTGACCATGTGTGAAAATGCAAAGCAGATATTAAAACCAGTCTTGTGTCTAATATTTAAAACCGGCTTGTAATTGAGGGAACATCTAAAATCCTTAATTAAAAAACACAAATGAAGTGAAAGCTTTAAACTGGTACACACTGTTCACACCTATATTTCAAGTTTGGAAATGCATATTTGCAAGCAGCAATACAAAAGTATTCATGAAGAATGCATAATCTCTGAAAATTATGAAAACATCCCTGCTACCAATACATTTCTAAATACAAAACTGACTAACATATTTGTTACTTCTGTGTAGCTAGAGAAGTTCATTTTCAAAACAGATAAAATTCAGTCTTTAGGTGTGAATGGTATGAATGACAGTCTTTTCTTTTTTAATTCTTAGTTGTTTGGGATCCTTAAGCATGCAAAAGCTTTGAACAGGAGGGTCCACAAAGGAACCAGTGTTGTATTATGGCATCCAGTTAGGCCAGAGCTGGGAATGCCTCTGGGTCATCTACATCAGGAGCAGAAGCACTTGACTGAGGAGGGAAAAAAAAAGAAACAAAAAATTAACCACAATTCTCAAATATTAAAAATAGGCTGTTAGTGTCTATATTTAGACACTGAATTCTATAAAGTCTTCAGGTTAAAACACTACATAAAATCGATTGAAGCTTTTAGACACAAAATTATACATCAAAATGAAACTATACATACACCAGCAACAAGTCTATTTCTCCAATGAAATACTTTAATTATCTGATGTGCTAGGTCTCATGTACAGAGCTTGTATATTGCTAAGTTAAGTGTTCTACCACTGATTGATACGTTCCCTGACCCCCTCCCCATCCTGTTTCGGACAAGATTTTGCCAATCCCAGCACTTGGAAGGCAAAGGCCACTTGGTCTACAGTGAGTTTCAGGACAGCCAAGGCTATGAAGTGAGACCCAGTCTCAAAACAAAAAAGCTCCAAAAATAAAATAAATATGGTTTGTTTTTCAAACTGGACATTAAAGTTATCCCTAATACTTTGTCAACAGACAATTCTGAATTCAAAATCAACTCCTTGAGCATCTATCAAAATTCTCATTAAGAACTTGTTTTAGAGCTGGATGTGGTATAAAGGACCTTTGGGAGGGTGAGGCCTGACTGCAAGTTTGGGAACAGCCTAACATAGCACCCATAAACAAATTAATATTGTATCCCACTCTTAAAAATCACAGCATAGAGTATGTTCCATGGAAACTTTAGCAATCCTAAGAATTTTCTATGCCTCAATTTACTCAGCAGTAAGGATAAACACCCCAGAGTAAAAGGAAATTATGCCAGCATGCAAAAAGCCTAACACAGCACCCTGACAAGCATAAAATAAGAATTCAACAGTATGCTTAATTCAACTCAATGGCAGCACTACTATAATCATTAAAGTCCTTTAAACAGAAATAAAACTAATGCCTGGTGTGACAGTGCGTTATGTTTACCAGCACTTCACAGCAGATCAAAGAGTTCAAAGATAGCCTGGTCAGCACAGATCAGTTCCAGGCAGGCTGGAGCCATAGTGGAACTGTTGCAAATTGTTGTTTCTTGAAAATAAGTCACTTCTTTCTTTAGTTCTGTATCCCCCACCCTCCAGAATATCCAGCCAGTAATCTCTTACAAGTCCTAAATTGCTTAAGACAGAAAAAAAGCATCTTAAAATCACCTTATCAGTCCTGCTGCCACGGTTTGGACGTCCACCACGGCCACGGCCACCACGTCCTCCCCTGCCACCACGTCCTGGGCGGCCTAGGTCTCCGAAATTGATCTCCAATTGAGACGTTATATCATTTGCTGGCTTCCGGAAATGATGGTCCATAACTGAATCTTCAGCATGAGCCTAAAATGGTAAGTGAAGGCCCTTGGGTTAATTAATATAAAAGAAATGCTGCAAAATTTCTAAATGTACTTTCTCTCTAAAGACTCAATTATTAATCCCGTACTTTGTGTGAATGAATACATCCACTTGTGGCTAAAGTTTTCCTGTGTCCCAGCCTGCCGGTGGTCAGGACAAATTCCTCTCACCCGCCAGTCCCGCAGCCGCTCAGACCCAAGTAAACACACAGAGGCTTATATTATTACAAACTGTATGGCCATTAGCTCAAGCTTATTACTGACTAGCTCTTACATTTAAACTAACCCATAATTCTTATTTATGTTTAGCCACGTGGCTTGGTACCTTTTCTCAGTTCTGCCTTTACATCTTGCTTCTCATGGGGCAGCTGACAGTCTCCTGACTCAGCCTTCCACTTCCCCAGAATTCTCTTCTCTCCTTATCCCGCCTACACTATACTTCCTGCCTGGCTACTGGCCAATCAGTGTTTTATTTATCAATCAATCAATCAGAGCAACACTTTCACAGCATACAGAAAGATACTCCACAGCATCCACTTCTAGCTCTACAGGTAGTACAGTTCACTTGGGGGTCAGGTAGTGACTTTGTTGTGGAATTCTTTTAACTTTCCTTTATCATCAATTTCTCTGAATTGCAGGTGATAATCCAAGTGACAAGTTCCCACTCTACTAAATCTTCAGCACTTAAATCTATGTGACATTCACAACAGGTCCTTAAAATTGGAATGCCAATGTGAATCCCTGATGATCTTTGGATAGAAGACATATAGTTTTTACTAGTGATAAATCTGAGGTTTTTGTTAATCTATACTCTTCCAAACTAGACCCTCCTACCCAAGAATGAATATACACATTTAAGTTTTGTTGTTTACATACAATTGTAAATTGAGCAAGCATGCCTACCTCAAATACTAAATTTTTTGTGCACAACTTTCAAATTAGCAATGTTCTGCACAAATCTCCCAAAACCTGAAACATGTTTGGTTTCAGCAATTCTGACAAGGATTACTCACTCAGCCTTCATTGCTCCTCCACATAAATTGCCAACTTCAAAAGTCAAACAATATAAACTTTATGTAAGAGATTCTTAGAACTATACGTAAGTCCACACCTTAAATGCACTAAAAGCACTTTACTAATAAATGAGACATTACAAAAGTATGATGTCTCAGCCTGGAAGGAGGAATTAATAGAATTTAATACTGCTTAATGCCTCTAGTTTTATATATTCTGGATAAAATTAGTTATACTCCTTGGCTGAAAAGTTTGCTTTATGCTAGTAAGTCTACTTTTTATTTATTCTTAATACATATAAAATCTATTTTGAAGGATAACAAGTACACTGTCCTTTATAGCCTGTATCACAGCTGCTAATAACTACTTTAAAAACACAAATGAACATTGTTCACATTAATGTTTCTATATACTGATACCCAAATTAAATTCTATCCCTTTAGTTATGACAACTCAATTTAAAGACAATAGTTTCTCAAATATAAATTTTAAGGAAATCTAAAAATCATTAAATATAAATCTACAAAAGCACTAGGAAAATTAAAAAATCATTTTTATAGCTTGTCTTTTATCTGGGTTTAAATGTTTGGCATTTCAAACCATCGATGTCAATAACTTTCTAGAGCACAAAACAAAACAAACTTAAATCTGGATGGTTTACTAAAAAAAAAGTTTTGATGTTTAGGGCACATTTCTAACTTTTAGGTTGACTTCTAGAATGTGATGAAACCAGACAGATTTACTTATCTCTCTAGAGCATTTAGGATGTCAACTTGCTCTGACCTCACATCTGTCAGTACAATGACTCAGTCTACCATTCCCCAAACCACATTTCTTCCTTCTCAGAACCACCCCATTATTTGTCATACAGGTAATATCAGTGTTAAATAAATCAGTAAGCCCATATTTGTGTAAGTATTCACATCACAAAGGCACAATAAATATATGAACCCAAATATAAGTGATTTGATAAATAAGAATGTCAAAGTTCCAAATTTTTTCAGAAGCAATTTTCAAAAATTTCTTACACCTTACCTTGCATGATACAGCAGTCCCTAGGATTTGCAGGACATTAAACTCAGGAGACGCCTGAAACCACAGCACCAAACCCTACACTATGCTTTTACCTATATATGAGCTATTAGTTAACGAGTGGGCAAATAGTATACACAATGCAGATACAGTTGTAAATCGGTAATTCATACATTCAGAGAGTACAAGATATTGCTAAGCTTCTACAACACTATTTAGAATGGCGTGCAATGTAAAATTATGGATTTCTACAGTTTTCCACTTACTATTTTTGGACCGTAGTTAACTATAGGTTAACTGAAAACAAGGTACAAAACAAAAAATCAAACAAACAACACACAGCAAAATAGGACTGCTATCAGAATAAAACATTTCAAATTGGGAAACATCTTAACATGCATGTAACACACAAAGACTTCAATACATTAATGAATTACCTAATATTTCAGCTAGATTTTAATGGGAAAAGCCAGAGCCTAGGTAAATCTTTTTCATATTAACATAGGCCACTTATTATTCTAAATGGAAACTCCTACATTAATTTTCACTGTTCAATCAATAACACTAACAATTTTATCTGTAAGAACTGGGATAAAAATGTTTTTTAAGACCTGACATCTAAGACAATTTTCTCATTTATATTTTTATGGAGTAAATATTAAAAACCATGCCTTCTCTAAACTTAGAAAACCAACCATATCTAACCTCAACTTTATCGAACAGTGTTTCCTATATTGGTCTCAGCCATTTGTAAACCAAAATGTATTAAGAAATTGAGTGACAGAAGTTATGACTCAATGGCAGAGCATGTGCACGTTAGCATGTTCCTGGGTTCAATTCCCAATTTCAAAAATAAGTGACACAGCCCAATTTATTACATGAATGAATACATGTATCAAAAAAGCCAGCAAAGGCTGCTAGAAAAAAATTTAAGAAATAATTTGGTTAAATTCATATTCAATATAAGCCCCTATCAGCATGACTTTCTGAAGTATTTACATTAATTTCCATGTTTCTTACATAAGAAACTCTAATCAGTCTTTATAAGAAAGACACCATTCCATAACAAGGAAAAATACTAACATTTTCTAAGTCCTGAATATTCTTTCTTTCTTTCTGAGCAAGTTTTCTACACCAAATAAGTCTAAAATAAAGCTTAAAAGTTATCTGTATTAGCTGGGCTGTGGTGGTGCACGCACTTGGGAGGCAGAGGCAGGTGGATCTACGTGAGTGTGAGGCCAGTCTAGTATACAGAGCAAGTTTCAGGACAGCTAGAGCTAAATAAAGAAATCCTGTCTCAAAAAACCAAACAAAACAAGTTATCCATATGAAATTTAAAACAAAAATTATAATTCAAGGCACAAATGAACAAATTCAAACAATTTTACCTCTTCACTTTTTGATTTATGCAGAACAAATCCCTTTTTCCATTGTCCATCAGCACCTTCATTTGGTTTTCGGATATTAAATTCTACTTTCGCTCGGTCTTTATTTTGAATAGCTTTCCACTCATCCAAAGTCATCTCTTTTGGACCCTCTTCCTTAACCTCTTCAACTTCATTCTCCCTGTGAAAAAGATATTTAAATTTTATGCCTGATGGTTCTTACAAATTTGTAGAAAAAATTCTGGGGGACTGAAGAGATGGCTAAGAGTTTAAGAGCACTGGGTACTCTCCCGAAGAACTGAAATTGAAGTTCAGTTCCCAGCACACATGGCTGCCTAAAAACCCCGTGACTCCCGTTCCAGGAGATATGGAACCCACTTCTGAACTCCATAGGCAACAGGCAAGCAAATGGTACACATACATACAAATAGGCAAAACACCTATATACATTAAAAAAAATTTTTAAATATACACACACATATATATATTTCAAATTACAATAAGGAAAATGACCCTGACTCTTAGTATCTGTTAAAAAGACTATTGGAGAAGAATTGCACCTTTCTGTTATAACCCAGCAACCAACTCCAAGAATGGTAGAGACCAGCTCATTTGCATATTGATGTGAATACAGATTACTTTACAACTTGCTTTCTTAAATGATTATACCATGAATTGGCCTTATCAACCCGTAATACACATTTCTTTGAAGCTATATTTTAAACTGCACCCTCTCGTGTAATTGATTTCATGTTCTACTTTCTCCTAAACTGCATATGGTGCATGCATGCATGTGCATGCAAAGGTATGCCAAAGGTCAATGTTGGTATTTTCCATGATCACTCTCTGCTCTATTTTTTGAGACCAGATCTTTCACTGAACCTGAAGCTCACCAACTAGCTAGGTTGGATGGCTCTAGAAAATCTTCCCACCCACACTGGGAGGGTTAAGGTTGGTCAGGTGTGCACCCACGCCTGGCTTTTATGTGAGTGCTAGACCTAACTTCGGTCTTAAAGCTGGAGCAGCAGGCGATTTACTGACTGAAACACCTCCATAACCCCACCGTTTTCATTTTATATATAAAGATCATTATCTGCTGCTCTTCTACTTCAGTTACTAGCATTCTAGCAAAGTATACAAGCCTGATTCCTACAAATCTGAAACTATGTAACTCCAACTCTCAAATCAACCTCTAACATATGGGCAGAAGACTGAGGTTTCATCAGTAATGGAACTGTCCACAAAACAAATTGCTTTCAATATTTATATCAAAATATTATCTGTCCTCCTTTCTACATAAAGCACTGGCCTAGGAATCCATTATCTTAGTCCAATTCCAAATGTCACCAAACAAATCATTTGCTATTTTGAGAGCTCTGCTTTCTTCCAAAGATAGCAAGTGATTTAGTTTAGCATCATTGCTAAAATATCTTTATGTAATTCTTTATATCTCGACAGATTCTATCTTACAACTTCCTGAAACAAATTTACATTCGCTCTTGATAAGACATTGGACATCAAATCTGTCAAGTCACTTTTACATATGACAGAACTAAAGCTCTGGAAAACTGTCCTCGTGACTCACCAGTCGACAGTCCGTGATACCTACCTTTAAAGACCACTTTGCTTCTTAAACTTATCCTGCAAATAAAAAATTATAATCCATTTCCCCCTACTTTCTAAGAATAGACTGCTCTGAAATGGTGACCATCATCTTTGTTAGAACAATTATCCCCAACTGCTCCTAGGTCCCAAGTAGAAGAATCCTTTCTAATACCCCATGAATATATCATTTCCTTCTGAGAAACACAATCTTTGAGGATCACCCTGAAAGCAACAAAGCGACTCAAATATGTTTAATAAAAGAAAAGGATGTGCTGAGTATTGTGAGGTACCATTAATCCCCATTATGCTTACCCCTCCAAAGTAAAACACACACACACCCCAATTCTTAATGCAAGAGACCATCTAATTCCATTACTTTGATATACTCTAGTGATTGTTTCCTTAGCTCAACAAGCCCACAAAATACAATGCTTCCTCTCATCATTAAGAGTTGTTCACCAAAACAGCATTTCACATTTCTAATTTTTTTTTATGTAGTCTCAGAGGTTCCAATTCAATCAACAGTTAAAAATTTTAAATAGGGTTGGAGAGATGGCTCAGAGGTTAAGAGCACTGACTGCTCTTCCAGAGGTCCTGAGTTCAATTCCCAGCATCCACATGGTGGCTCACAACCATCTGTAATGAGAGCTGGCACCTTCTTCTGTATACATAATAAATAAATAAATCTTAAAAAAAAAAAATTTTAAATGACTTGAACAGGGAGTGGCAGCACATGCCTTTAATCCCAGCACTAGAGACAGTTAAGCAGATAGATCTTCTTGTGAACTAAAGACAGTCTGGTCTAGAGAGTTCTAGGCCAGCACTACAACATAGTGGACCCTGTCTCAAAAACCAAACAGGACTGGACAAATGGTACAGCAGTTAAGAGCACTAGCCAGTCTTCCCAATGACCTACATTCAAACACCTACATACAGGCTATCATCTACAACTCCAGACCCAGATCCAATAACTTCCTCTGGCCTCCATGGATACCACATGCATGTAGGCAAAACATTCATACACGTAAAATTAAAAATAATGAAGTTTAAATGGAGGGTGTCCTTCAGGGAACTGGCTGGCCAAAGAAACCCCAAAGGCAAGTTAACAAAAGCAAAATCTGACTAATGGAATTACATCAAACTAAAAGACAATGAGCACAGATGGAAAAAAAATACCTGTAACCCATTCAAGTGACTAATAGAAAGTATGTAACAAATCCAAAACAGCCCAAAAGACCCCCCCAAAAAAACCACCCACATAATCTAACTTAAAAAAGGGGGGGGGGAATGTGGGTGGGCCAGCAGAGTTCAAGGCCAGCCTGCTCTACAAAGTGAGTTCTAGGGCAGCCAAGGCTGTTACACAAAGTAAATGAAAACTATGGTCCTGGGGATGTAACTCACATGATAGTGCATACCTAGCATGTATGAGGTCCTGAGGTAAGTCTTAGCAATGCAAAACAGACATGACTGAGCACACCCACAATCCCAGTACTTGGAAAGAATCATACATAAGTAATAATCCTCCACTACATAGTTCAAGGGCAGTCAGACTACTTAAGACCCTGACTAAAAACAAAACAAAACAACATCAAAATCACAATGAGATCATCTCACCCTTGTCACAAATGGCTATTAACAGAGAAATAAATGCTAGTGAGGATGCTGAGAAAATACCCTCAGAAATGTCATCAATACAACCACAAAGGAAATCAAAGATTCTCAAAAGAACAAAAACTAGAAACAGATCAAAAATTTTATCATTGGGCATATATTGTGCTGAGCTTAACTTTTCCTGGGTAGACATGAATAAACATGTATTCACTCCAGACAAGCACACACACCAGTTAAGAAAATTATTCCACCTGCTTGGTGGACCAATGAGTTTCATTAGTTATTTATAGGAGCATGGGTGAGTGGTTATTTACAGGAACACAGAAAACCAATGAGCAGTAACACCAACAGAGAAGAGCCCCCCCAACCCCTTAGCAATCATTAAAGACTTATGCATACATACTCAAAGTAGGGGTCCTCAGACCACCTGCAAGCCCATAAATAAATGTTAGTTTAGCAACAGGTGCCACTATTTCAGGACAGCAATGCTCATGTTATGCCCCAGTAGATTGAGTTCCACAACATACCCAAAGGAAATAAAATCAGTATGCCAAAAATACACCCACACCCCGTTGTTTACTTGTAGCATTACTTAACAGTCCAGTTCCAGGGGATCCAACACCCTCTTCTGGCCTCTGTAGATACTGCATGAATGCAATACACTTAACACACATGCAGGCAGACACTCATACACATGAACTTTTTTAAAAGAATGCTAATGAGCATTCTCATCATTGCTTTTCAGTCTGAGCCTAATTTTTTACAAAGCTGTTTTTCAAGTTTTAAGATATAGTATTTAAAACTGATAATGTTGAGATTGCATTGAACTAAACACTACAAACACCTCTTATACCAACAATTTGGTTAAGTTTGGTTTTTTCTCTTTTCTTTTTGTTTTTTTGACACAGGGTTTCTCTGTGCAGCTTTGGCTGTCCTAAAATTCACTTTGTAGCCCAGGCTGGCCTTGCACTTAGAGATCCACCTGCTTCTGCCTCTCGAGTGCTGGGATTAAGAGGAGTGATCCACCACTGCCCAGCTTAGTTCAGTTTACCACACTCCACCTATTCAGAATCTCAGCGTAGTACAGCTATCATTAGAATTACCCTTCCTAAATTCAAATGCAAAATACTTTGCTCCTTTCCTTCATACCTGGGTAACAACAGCTGATTTTTACGATCAGGGCTTAAAGATTTTACTTAAAATACATATATTCCTTAATTTTTCTAAGGTGTATAAAAACAGTAAAATTATCATATCAACACTTAGTCAGGCATGGTATTACACACCTGTACTCCCAGGACTGAGAAGGTAACACAAGAGAATACTGAGTTCCAGGTCATCCTGAACTACACAGCAAGACAATGTCTCAAAGCAAGAAAGTCTCATGACTGTGCCATCAAATGAGTTACTTTATTGGTAAAAATCCAGACAAATTCCCGGGTTGGAGCATTACATCTCCACACATAACCACTTACTTATTTTCAGTGTCTGCCACTGGGTGCTCTTCACCTTCAGGTGTTTCCTCAGTCACATTTGATTGATCCAAATCACTGCAATTATAAGATATTTGTTTCTGAATGTATTTGGGAGACTCTCTAAGGAAAGAAAGAAAAAGAAAGGCATCTAGGTCCATTTACATGTAGCCAAAAGTCCATCATAACAAAGTAAAAACTTTTACATTCTTTATGTATTTTATTACTAATTTTATTCTATTCTATTCATTTTACACTTCAGTAGACGTCTAAGAGAAAACAAATTATTAAATTAGTTTACACACTTTTAAAACAAGATTTTGTAAGTCAGATGCAATAGTAGATACCTGTAATTAACTACACAGCAAGTTCAAGGCTGGTCTGGAGTATCTAAGACCCATTTCAAAAATACAAAAATGGGGGTGGGGGGGGCCTTACCAAATTTTGTAAGGAAGACTACGATAACTAGAGTTCAAACAATTAAAGTCATAATACTCCCAGTATCTTTATCATGGGGCTTCAGAAAAACTACGTACATCCATCACTAAAATAAAATTATTCATATATTTAATTATTTTTATTTAAATATAAACTTCCTGTAAGACATTATAAGGCTATAGCTTTGAGACAGAACATCCATTCTTATCTCCAGAACAAAATTTAAGTACTGACAAGCCTCTAGTAAGTTAAGCGTTTTGGTTTCAAATTATTTAACTTTAAAAAAAAATCAGAATACCAACGTTAATTCATCTTTGACAGTTCCCCAGTTGTGAGATCCGCTACCTCCACGTTTGTCCTCATGCTTCAGGCCACTGTAATGCGAAAAAGAACTAACAAAACTGAGTTAACATTATACTCTTTAGTTCTAGAAATTCAAATTTTGTTTTTATTAAATAAGCACATTTAAATTTAAAACATACAACAATCAGTGAGACTTACGATCTATCACTTCCACTATGCCTATCAAATTCACGTTTGCCACGAGAATCAAATCCATCGCCTCGGCCCATTCCACGTCCACGGCCTCCTCGACCCCTTCCAAGACCACCTCGGCCTCGGATAGGCCGTTCAATAATCGGTCTACAAAACAAATTTAAAAATTATACCTCTGATGTTTCTAGAAAAAGGAACAGGGAAAATCCACTCCAAGGCTCAAAAATATAGACTATGCTTACTGGCTTATAACTCAACAAATAAATATATGTAATTCCAAGTTTATTTCTACACATAAAGGAAGAATTAGAAAGAATTAGAAACTTTTACTATTCTTTAAAGCATTGCTGCCAGTATACTTTTTCACTTACTGACTCACTGCATCAGTCATACTTGTATTCACCAATACTCTTAACTACAATTATCATATCTAACTTGCACGATGAGTGACAGACAATACCACTATCCTTTTAAACTCAGTATCTGGACAAAGGGAGGAAAAGAAACTGGCCATTGACTCAAAATATTTACTATTAAGAGATTAGAACATGTTATCCATAAATATAAATGCAACAACATATACTCACTTTTCTCTGAAATACACCTAAGTAACCACCCCAACTACTACCTGGCAATTATGCTCAATTTACAGCTTTACATTAAGATCTAACTATAAGAGAACAAAGCGGGAAAAGCTTGTTTAAAGCTTACCTATCAACTGAAAATTCACCACCTTCAGAACCCTTTTCTTCAAGTGGCTTTTCAAATCTTCTTTCCCGAGGTGTTCGCCTTTCTGGTCTCCTATCAGTTATTTTCCCTTCTCCCTGAAGTTGTTGATCAGGTCTTCTTCCAACTCGCCTTATTCCTTATGACAAATAACCAGCATAAGCAAATCACTTTTACAACACAAAAGTTTAGGCTAGACTATTAAGGCTGATGGGCATCACCCATGTGTAACAAACTGCTTTAGGACATTTTTATTCAACAGTAAACATCTCAAACTTCATCTACAACCTAGAACTGACTTGGAAATCACTGGGCACCATCACACCTTTACTTTCCAAGAAGTCAAAAGTCTACTACAAAATTTTAAACTTACAGATATTTCAGTCCTGTATTATATTTTTGGCTTTAAAGACATCAAAGCTAATACCAGTAGCCAGTAATAAATAACCAAGCACTGAACATTCACTAAATATGCCCCTTAGAAAACACTGAAATTCACACTATTATTTTTCTATATAATCTGCAGGGGGGAAGGCAGTAAAGAACTCTTAAATCTAGAGAATTATAATTCTGAAAGAAAAATAAAAGACATTTATGAGCTCTAGGGAAAAAAGCCCTAATTTAAAATAGCTATTTGAGCTAGACATGGTGCATACAATATTAACACTAGAAAAGAGTGGGGCACAAGGCAGGTTTGGAAGTTCAAGGCCAATCTGGATTACAGAGACCATGTCCCAACTCCACCTCAAGCAAGCAAATAGAGCTATTTAATAAAAAAAAAAAAAAAAAAAAATCACCACTTTCCTCATTAACATTGAAAGTCCAAGTATGTATACACAAATCTATATACATATTCCCAATTCTAACTTTTAACACTATTATGTAACCATTAGGAAATACTACATAATTAGTATGGATAGAAAGCTTTTTCTATGTCTGCTCTTTCAAGTATCTGTTTTCAAAGCATCTTCACAAATCACACACAGAAAGATCCTCATTTAACAATTATGTACTAAGAAGGCTGCAACCATCCAGAATGATAGTACCATGGGAAGGCCTGAGTTCAGTCACAGTACCCAGCCTCAAAAAACAAAACAGAATTTTCTTTAAGTGACACTTAAAGCCTAAACTAATTTTTCTACCTTCATTTTTCTTTCTGATAACATAGGAAACTCACAAAAAGAACCAATATGAATTGAATTATTGGTAGTCTTAAGGATAAGTTGATGGTAAATTTCAGGTATGCTCTAATTACCAAACCACAGGTTTTGACAGTCAAAAAACTGCTCAGAAATTGTTTTTTAAGTTATGTGACTTAGTTTAAGAAAATGGAACACCATCAGGATATACCTATTTGTTCAGATATCCCTAACTAGTCATACAGTAAAGATGAAATTAATATTTAAACTTCATTCTCTGTAAATTCTCTGGACAAGACCTAAATGTAGACCTTATACCAAGACTTTTACATAAATTTCATCAGAGGTACAGTGTGTTAGGGTGGAGCTATGGAACCTGCTCAGTCCTTGTAATGATAACCAAGCTAAACACACCCAAGGAACAATGGCTTGCTTCCCCACCCAATATTCAATGAGGCCTACATAATCAGAAAAACTTATTAAACTCATTATGGGGTTGGGAGTGTTGCTCAGTGAGAGCTACTATAGCCGAGTGTGCAAAACGCTGGGCTCTACCAATATCACCACAAAAAGTAAATTCATCTAATGAAAAATTATTGATACTTTTTAAAACACGCAACATTTTTTTGATGTACTTACCTATACTTGAATTGTAACTGCAGTAGAATCCTGGTGTTTTTTTAAATCCAAAAACCTGGTCTACACTTAACATTTTGCCAACTCTCAAGTTCTTCAAACAGACACCATTACATTCCAGCATTATGTTATCGAGACACGGGACACACCATAGGTTAACAATTCTTTCCTTTCTTAGAGGTACCAACTACCACCCAATACACAGACCTGACATGTTTATTCAAAATTTCCCCTTATGTATACCCTTGTTTTAAGAAACTCTGGTTTTAGAGTGATCTAAGAATTGGGGATGTAGGAAACAGCTTTTCCCCAGCATGGACAAAGTCCCGAGTTCAATCCCCAATACCAAAATAAAATTGAAATACTAATGCTGATAATGTCGACCAGCAATGTGAATACGTTTTCCAAAGGACTGAAGTAAATGACAAACAATCCTGGCTATAATAAAAATTCCCTACATTTATGACTTACAATGTTAGTTTCCAGATAAGACCATAGATTGGATTCGTGGTGAAAACTGAGTAATTTCAATTAAGCTTCATGCTTTGAACATTTTAATGAGTGAGCGCATCTACCTGGCGTGTTTTAGACACAACTTTTTTTTAATTAGTGCACTTTCTTTTAATTAGTGTCATCAAAGAAGTAAACAGTTTAAAATAAATACACCAGCCAATTTCTTAACACAAGAATTAAATGCCTTATTCAACTGTGTGATGTCAAGAAGCTTAATCGGCTGGGTACTTTTGCCCAGGTGATATTTCCTAACACTCCAGACTATGCTGCCCTTCCAAATCTCTCATTTCAGCACAAGAATTCTTCCTTTTATTCAACCAACTAGGTTTACTCCAAGCCCTACAGAGAGAGAGAGAGAGAGAGAGAGAGAGAGAGAGAGAGAGAGAGAGAGAGATCCCCCCCCCGCGCCCAAAAAGATACCTTAAACCAAAACCTAAACAATTCCTTTCATGAGCACGTGGCAGGCAGTAAGAGGCAACTTTAACATATAATGGCAATTATAAAGACTCACAGCTTAGATTCTATACCTACCTGCTATTGATTTTGCACTTTCTTAACCCTTAATTGCTTTGCCTTTCCACCCACAATAAGCCGGTATTGGGGAAGAATGCTACAAGAAAATCAAAACAACTACGAAACTTTCAGCGCCCTGGAAGGCACTATTAACCGCCAATGAAGACCTGACCACGCTTCACGCACGTGCGGAGGCAAAGCTGCAGACTCCAAGGAGCTCGGCTGCCGGGACGTGACAGGCTGGGCACTCATTTTACCCACCAAGCCAAAAGCAGGAAAAGCCCTATGACCTGGGGGCTTCAGGGAGTTGGAAGAAGGGATCGCGACATGAGAAGGGACCTGCTCATGACCGGTCTTCATTCAGAGCTCCCTCTAAAAAGAGTGGGGCCAAATCCCTCTCCTTCCCAACAGTTTCATTCACGCCAGGAAGTTACAGTAAGTTTAACGCGAGAGCGAAAAGGGGTGCAACAAAAAGCGCACGTGGGACCCAAACAGCACCTCCCTCCCCCTAGAACGGTGCCCCCAAACTGAGACGCAGCCCGAGTGGGAAACTCCAAGCTCCCCCCGGCCTTTCCTTGAAGGTCCGCGCCATTGTGGGACAAGATGGCAGGGCAGGAGCCCAGAGCGGGCAGCAGCAGCCCCCAGGAGCACGCCGGGCAGGAAACGTGCCCGCGCTGCTCCCGGGCACCGAGAGGCAGGCGGCGAACGCCCGGCCCGAATCGGCGGGAACGCCCGGGCCGCCCTCTCCCAGCACGCTCAGCCAGCCCGAGGCGGGAAGGCTCCCACCGAGCCTGCGAGCGGCGGCGTGGGCTCGGGGTCAGCCACGCTCCGGGCACCGGCAAGGGACCGTGAGGCGGGCTCCGCGGGCTCCGCGGGCCCTCCCGCTGCACAAGCAAAGCGGCGGCGCACGCCCCCGTCCTGCCCGCCAGCCCGGGGCTCCCCACCGCCTCGCCCGGCTTTACCTTCTTTCTTAAGCGCCACCGGCGGCTGCGTCTCCTCCTTTTTGTCAGGCACGCCGACGCTGGGGGGCAGCGGGTTCTTGCGGTCCTTCTGGGACTCTTTCCGCAACTGTTTGCCCGCCGCGTTGGAGTTGGTCTGGGCCGCGGCCTGAGCCGCGCTCTTGGCCCCAGGGCCCCCAACGCCGCCCCCGCCGGCTTCTTTTTTCTTGTTCTCTGCTGCCTTCAGTACCTCGAAAGGGTCCGATTCGTCGTCAAATAGCTGGTCGAATCGGTTGGTGACCACGCAGCCGAAGCCTTCCTGTAGGTGCCCAGGCATGATGGTGGCTCGGCGGCGCGTTCCTCCACGGATTGCAGCGGACCGCGCCGAGCCAAAAGCGCCTGCTTCAGCTCTTCCCACAAGATGGCCGGGCCGAGAGAGGGGGGCCGCCTTCTCTTCCGGCGCTAGGCACACATCCGGGAGCGGCCTGCGCCGCACAGCACCATGGGGCGTGTAGGCCACACCCGATCATCCTGAGACGGCTGTGCGCTCCTGAACCACAACCCCCAGCGTGCACCGCGCAGCAGCTCTTCGCGCGCGCCTGGGAGGCGGGATCTCACGCAGAGAGTGAAGCGTGCTCGCTGAAGGTGGAGAAGCGTGTGCTGGGCGGAGTTCTGCCACCTGCTCTTGTCACCCTTAAACTCTCTCGGTCTTTAGCTACCCCTGAAAACAGGAAAACGTGAGCGTGTGTTCTGCTCACGAAAGTGTTCTCTGTCTTTGGTTTCGCCCACCCCGCCCTTCTCCGGCCGAGGACTTTCTCCACCTTTCTGAGAGGGTCAAGGTGACTCCCAGACCTAGTAACTGGAGCCTCAAAAACTTCCGGGGGGGTGGGGGGGGTGAGGTGTCACACTACCCTCCCGTAGGTTGCAGGTTGCGGCCGCTCGGCTGCACGTCCCTAGCGTTTGGGGTTCGGAGCTATCATCCTCCACCTTCGCAGCGAATCGAAGCACTTGGGTTTAATGTGGAACGGAACTCGGAGTTTGCTCTCACCGAGACGTGAATTTAGGTGGCAGAACGAATCAAAAAGACGAGTTGAACTATCTGGGTTGCGCGCCTTTTCCGGTCATTGCGACCATGCTTTGAGAGCTGTTAACTCCGGACTACCGCACTGGACGCCCGGCCAGCCTCCAAAAGGCAGTGCTTGGAAACGCTTTCTAGAATCAATCCGATTAACGGATCCATCAGTATCTGGCCACCCAAGGCTTAAGAGGCAGCGGTATTAGTAAAATGTACTGGAGAGCCTGGAGGTGGTGGCGCATGCCTTTAATCCCAGCACTCCAGAGGCAGAGGTAGGCAAATCTCTGAGTTTGAGGCCACCCTGGCCTACAGAGCAAGTTCAGGGAAAGCAGGGGCTACACAGCGAAACCCCCCCTCCCTCAAAAAAAAAAAAAAAATGTGCTCAAGAAGAAATAAGTATAATGCATTGAGTATTATGTGTGAAGGGAGGAAAATTAATCTAGTAACCACTTGAAAACACTGACATTAGTTGGGTACTTTAAATCCCATTAAGGCAATCCAGTGCCAATACATGTTATAGTTTTTAAACCTTTTCCATTGACACAGAATGTAATAGAAAACGTATCTCTCAAGTAGCAGGTGCTAGGAAATGTTCGGTCCCCACATCTTTTTAGGTAAATAATTGTCCCCTTTCCGCAAGCGATGAAATCATGTCAGAGGTGCTATGACTTGTCAAGTTCGCACTTATGTTAAGTGCCAGTGGCAGTCTTCTAACTGCACTATGAGATTGTTGACATCAATTCTGTAAACCAATTTCTGTCCTGACAAGTGTTGAAATTCTGATAACGAAATCAAGTTTAAACAACATGGTTGAAGGTAATAATTTCTGAGCATAGTTTGAGTCAATGCCTTGAGGAAATTAGCATACAGAGTTTTATTACAGCATCAGCAGCATGCCTCCTCCTTTTCTTATCTTCCATCCTCCCAAATGGCACAAAATCATTTATCTCTCCATTGCTTCATTCTGCCCCCACATCCACACCTTCTCTCTCTCCCACAGCCTGTGGCTCTTACCCACTACTAAACAAGCAGCTCTGGGCCCCAGACCTTAGCACCACTGACTCCATGGTGGAAATACCATTCAGGCTGTAAAACTCAGCACGCAGACAGCACCACCTGACAAAACTAAAACAAAGACCTAATCCATCAAAGCCCATATAGTTCTGGGAAAGTCTCTAAATGTTCTAACCTTGCTTTTTAGCTTCTGTAGTTCTGCTTCTGGCTAACTGTTCTTGTTAACTGAATGTGTCAACCCAGAACATGGTTTTTGTGCTTAAGAGCTCACCCTGAGAAAGACTCAGGGCTGCACTGGGATCCCGACCACCCAGTGTTGTGGACAGACGTCTAATAAAGACTTTCTATTGGCTTAACCTGTGTCCGATCAGTCTTCTCTGGTGAATACAACACTCTTTCCACCCTTTGAAAAGAGCTCAAGTACAATTTGCAAGATCATACTTTAACAAATGCTTCCTCTTCACAAAGTATAGTAACTATCTATAGTTCTGAGGCATCTCCAGAAACTCTGACCTTTCTGACCACTGCCACAATAACAATATTAATAACTAAAACAATATTTTACTATGTGCCTAATGCACTTTCAATATGGGATCCCATTTAATCCCATTGGCTCTGTCCCTAAGTAATACTCTCATCTTAAGATGAAGAAAATGGGGACTGGGGATATGGCTCAGTAGTAGAGCACTAGCATGTGTGAGATGCTTCAGTCCCCGGAGGAGTGGGGGAGGGGAGGAGAAAAGTGAAGAAAATGAGGCACAATGAGGTTAAGTTACTCCTTAACCACATACCCTGGGATAGGAAACCAGAGGGCCTCTGCTTGGTCTGTTTTCATTGACAGTTCATTACTTTCCTTAAACAGATCTTCACAGGTGCCAAGCATTGTTTATCCTAAGAACATAGATTATACATAGAAATGGCTACCTAGAAATATATAAGATTGACCTACTCCAGAGAACTTACCTATTGTGATAACTTCAAAATGTTAGGAATAAACATTTAGAGAATGGTGAGAGCCTTCAAAGAACCTGTCAATCTAGAATTTAGTTAATCCAGAGAAAAAGCCCATTTCTAAAGTGTACAAATAAAGCCCAGGGTGTTAAATCTTTTACAACTTAAGATCTATTATTGAGATATTATTTCACAACTATTAGCACTAATTTTGCCTTTATCCTAAGAAATTAAGGTGGTCTTTAGAGCTAAGTATATAAGCTTAGTGATAGACCATTTAGTTAGTAGGTAGAAGATGCTAGGTTTGATTCCCAACACCATACATCCACAAAGTATACACACATATAGACTTTAAAATATTAAAATACTGGGCTGGCAGGGTTACTCAGCAGGTAAAGATGTTTGCCACCAAGTCTGACATCCTGACTTCTGTCTCCTGTACCCACAGGATGGGAGGAGAAAAGGGACTCCCATAAGTTGTTCTCTGTTCTCCACGCTCATGCTGTGGCACACACACACACACACACACACACACACACACACACACACACACACACACACACAAAATGTTTTTTAAAAAAAAAAAACTTCTAGAAAAAAAGTGGTTGCTTGTATCACTAAGAATATTGGTGGGACAATCCTCACAGGAAAAGCAGGGGAGACTCTCCAACACTCCCATTCAGATTCCAGGATCTGCAGCATTACTGGAGCCACATTATAGTCTCTTTAAAACACTCATGCGGCATCACAGTTTACACACAGCAAGCTTCTCTCAAGAATATTCTATCCATAAATGTGAAAACTCTCCAAATACCTTGACTAAATATATAGCATATTTGTCTAACACTGGCCTAATAGTAAAACTCAGAAGTACTTGCTTTTTTGATGCTAATACTCAATTCTCAGCCACACTGCAATTTTGTTTTCACTCATTTTTGTGTGTGCACATGCGTGCACGTGCCTTCGTGCATTCGCACATGGAGGCAGAGGTTGATGCTGGGGATTTTCCCCATTCGATTCTCCACCTTATTTTTTGAGATAAGAGCTCTTGCTGAACCTGAAGTTGTCCTATTGGCTAGACTGGCTTGCTAGCAAGCCCCAGGGGTTCTCCGTTTCCCTCCTTTTCAGTGCTGGGGTACCAGGTGCACTCCGCTTTTACATGGGTGCTGGTGATCGAATTCAGGTCCTCATGCTTCTGCGGCAAGCTCTTTACTGATAGCCATCTCCCTGGCTCTGCTCACACATTTCTTAATAACCTCAATCCTTTGTCACTGTTCCTATAATTAATAACTAAGGACAATTATTACTTTAGCATTCACCATGTTCTAGACACTGTGCTAAGTATGCTGTATGCCTCATTTCCTTTAGTTCTCAGAATAACATGAAATAATACTACTACCTCTATCGGTTTTTTTATTTTAATTATTATTTATTTTACATGTATCGGTGTTTTGCCTGCATGTATGCCTCTGCACCACCTGTGTGTCTGGTGCCTTTGGAGGGGAGAAGACAGCATCAGATCCCCTAGTACTGGAGTGACTGAGTTTGTGAGCCTTCATGTGGCTGCTAACAATTGAACACATACACACCCCTCCTCTGGAAGAGCAGCAAGGGCTCTCAACTGCTGAGCCATCTCTCCAGCCCCTCCCTCTTCTTTTATGTTTAGTGAATTTAAGTACTCCCATAAATTCACATTGACTAAGAGCCCAAGCAGTCTGATTTTTTTTTTTAGATTTATTTCTTTTTATTTTATGTGTATTGATGTTTGCCTGCATATATGCATGTGCACCACATGTGTGCCTAGAGGCTAGAAGAGGGCACTGGAGCCCTTGGAACTGGAATTATAGATGTTGTGAGCCAACATGGGTACTGGGAACTGAACCCTGTTCGCTTGGAAGACAAGTGCTCCTAACTGCTGAGCCATCTCTCCAATCCCAAGCAGTCTGGGCTTATAACTTGGTAGAACCCAATCTTTATCATTGTGAGGGCCGTGGTCCAGGAAAACGTTTATCTTTACATTGTTACCACGAGTACCAAAATAAAACTATAATTCTAATTTAGTAGAACACATTGGGGAAACAGGCATCACGTAAAAAGTAAGTAGGAAACCGATAAATTTTAGTATTTACCTAATGTATAATTCATTTTTTAAAAGCAAATACATTGAAGATGGTTTTTATGAAAAGGACCAATCTAATGTGTATGAGGATGGAACGCTTTCAGCATAGTACTGCAAGTCTGAGTTCTCGCTAAAATTAGGGACCTCAGAGCTGAAAACAGAAACATTGTACTCCCTGTTTTGCTACGGTAAACTTACTTTTGACTTAAACTTCAGGTTTTTATTTTTCTTCCATTTTGCTCTTAAAACAGAATTAAGAATATTGTTGACCAGACCCACAAAGCTAGTGT